CTGCCCTTCTTTCTATATGAAATTACCATTTTACTGTTTATCCTCCACTTTTTTCTTATTTACTAATTCTCTTCCCTTTTAGCTCTTTTTAGTTCCCAAAACCATAAATCATAATTCAGGCTTTGTTGAAAAAAAGTATATATAGATTTTCTAATTCTTCAAAAAAAAAAGTATTTTCCCTGATCAAACTGTTAGCTTTGCCATTTCCGCAAACTTTATCAATTTTATAATCCTTTTTTTTTAACTATGGGCATTTCATTACTCTTTTGTCTTTGCGCATAGAATAATCTTGTATTTTTGTATGGATTTGTGCCCAAAATGTCTTTGCTTCTTGACAGGCCTACCATATACTGTATAATATAAGGTCCTGTCTTCCTTTTCACACTTCCAAGACTTTGATATGTGTTTTATATTCCCTATACATTTCTGACAGAGCAAGCTCCATTGAACTGAGGGTTTACTTTACAGTATTTCCCTGCTCAGAAGGATGAACTGTTCTTAAACCTGCCTGGGCTCTTATTTGAAACATACTCAATGTTTTAACATTCATTTAAACATTTAAATGTTTTACAAGTTAATTCATCCTTGGGAAAATGCCTTGTATATAAGTGAGTAAGCCATGCATATCAGTCAACGCTGCTAACATCGGATGTTCTTGCTTTGACAACAGATGGAAATGCAGCCATTTTTCTCTATGGCTTTTAGAGTTAGTTGATGCTGGGAGGGGGAACATGGATAAGAGTCCAGCTAGTCATAATGATAATAACTCAGCCGTGGGAATCCAAGGTCATTGGGCCCAGAGTTGATAGAGTTTTGGCCAGGCTGGAGAGCTGGGGAGAAAGCCTGAGCTTCAAGCTAATTGGGGAATATGATTTATGACTGTTTATTTATTGGAGGAGGGAATTGTGTTTTGATACTTTGTATTCAGAGGAGGGGAATTTAGTTTTTGGTTTCGACTATGTAGTGCCAATACTTTGTTTCTCGAATAAAATATTCTTTAAGGTAAACAATGCCTCGAAGTTCTTTTGAAGAATTTCATCTGTCAGAACCATGACATACACATTTTTCTCTGTCTTTGTCTATCAAAAGAAATGGGTCCAGGTTATCTGAGGAACCATCTCCTTCCAATGGGATCACCCCACACCCCTTGCACTGGCAGAAGAGGCATGCGGTGGATCCTATCGGCCAAGGACTTTCAGTTGGGGGGAATTCAGGAAAAGAGCCTTTTCTACCATGGCTCCCACCCTCTGGATGTACATGCCCCTGCCCTCTTAGCCCTCCATAAAAGCCTTAAAATCTGGCTCTGCCCGGATAGGGGCACATCATCCTGGAGGTAGTTACTGGATTAAATGAAAGGTCTCACCTCTATTCTATGGTACACCCCATGCTATTTTAACTATCACTTGTTAATTTTAATGTATTTAGTGTTTACAGGTTTTTTTATTTTATAGTATAGTTTTATCAGATTGTAAGCTGTTCAGAGTCATACAACAGCAAGGTGGGGTGACAAATGAATAGATGAGATAGATAGGGTAGATATCATGTTTGACAAGGAGAGCAGTCCACTTCACTCCTCAGCCTCCCTGAAGGCTGTAGGATGCTGTCCCAGAGTGTCTAGAATTCATAATGGCCACTCCTAAAATGGTGCCTACCTCCAAGATAATGCCACACTACCTCTATGGTATAGGAAGGCTGTGCAGCGGAGTGGCTACTTCCCAAAGATCTATCAAAAAGGTAAGTGACTGATCTATGACAGGAATGAAGAAGAGGATGGGAAGCTGGTCCAAGGCTTGCAGGGATGGGGGTAGATGGGTAGGGAGAAATCACTGCAACATTCCTGCGGTTGTAAGAATGGGCAGATTGCCAAGAGCCAGAATTTTGTTTATGTGAATGTGAGGGTGCTGCAGAGGCTGTAACTTTGGGCAGGGGTCATAATGTTCATTGCCATAATTTTAAATGCTCACTGAACAAGCAGTCATAAGTCAAGGACTACCTGTAATTAATTGTGTTGCAGATTAAACAATTATGATATGTTTAATAAAACAGATAAGGCAAGGCAAGGCAAGATAACCTTTATTGTCTTTTTTTTTTACTGTGGGCACAACGGCACACATCAAAAATGAAATTTAGTTGCCCGCTCTCAAAGTGAAACACATACATGACACACACCTAAACATACTATGTACAACATATGTATAGACCCACTCCCCTACATATACATAGCAAATAAATATTAAATTCTGTCCATCTTGAATATATAATGGAAGGAGGAAGCTTGAGAGTTCACAAGGTTAATGCTGTATGGAATGAAACTATGGCTGAATCTGGATGTTCTGCTGCGGATACCACGAAGCCTCCTCCCAGAAGGTAACAAGGAAAACATCTCATGAAGAGGATGTGTAGTGTCCCAGATAATCTTACGGATCCTGCTCAAGCAGCACTTCTGTGCTATGTCCCAGATGGGAGGGAGGGAACTGCCAATGATCTTTTCGGCCATTCTGATCACTCTCTGCCCCGCCTTCCTGTCTGAAGCAGTGATGCTTCCAAACCAGACTATGATGCTGTATGACAGAATGCTCTCGATTGTCCCCCTGTAGAAAGTGGTCAGGACAGGGGAAGGAAGATGTGATTTTCTCATGCAATGAGAAAATGCAGGCGCTGCTGACCCCACTTCACCAGTTTCTCACTGTTGAGCGACCAAGCCAGCCTACTTGTTAGCTGCACACCCAGGAATTTGATGCTGGTAACCATCTCCACAGGTGAATCATTAATGCACAGAGAAGTGTGGCTGTGCCTGCCTTTTCTGAAATCGACAATGATCTCTTTGGTTTTTCCAATATTTAAAACTAGGTTGTTTTCCTTACACCAGTTCACCAACCCCTCAACCTCCTTGCAGTAAGCTTCCACCTTGTCATCCTGAATAAGGCCCACTACTGTTGTATCATCTGCGAACTTCACAATATGGTTGGTGGCAAACCTAGCATAACAGTCATGGGTCAACAGGGTGAACAGCAGCAGACTCAAGACACAGCCCTGAGGAGAACCTGTGTTCAAGAAAATGGTATTAGAAGTATTTGTTCCAACTCGCACATATTGGGGCCTGTTGGTAAGAAAAACAAGAATCCAGTTGCATAAAGGAGTGTTTAAGCCTAAAAGTCCCAGTTTGTCTACTAGATGCTGGGGAATTATTGTGTTAAACGCCGAACTGAAGTCAACAAACAACAAATGCACGTATTTCTTTCCTCTAAGTGCTTCAAGCTCAGATGGTCAGTAGGCAAACTGAAGCCGGTCGAATGCTGGCGGGAGGCTAGATACAATAATGTCCTTTATCAGCTTCTCAAAGCATTTCATAATGGTGGATGTCAGTGCAACCGGGTGGTAGTCATTGAGGCCTGTAATTGTGGACTTTTTTGGCACTGGCAAGATGGTGGCCGTCTTAAAACACGATGGGACCACTGCCTGCTGCAATGAGAGATTGAAAATATCTGTGAGAACACAAGCCACCTCCTCTGCGCATTCCCTGAGGACACGTCCAGGGATGTTATCTGGGCCTGCTGCTTTCTGAATGTTAACTTTCTGCAGTGTTTTCCGGACAGAAGTGACATCAAAGCTTAGCACTTGGAATGAGGCAGGAGGGAAGGGAGAGGTTGACAGATTGAATATGTAGATGCAGGCTACATATAAGATCAATTACAGGGATTTATCAACAATTGTAGAATATTAAAACCCCAGTATGTTTCTTTGAGTTTATTTAAGATAGCCTGACATGTTTTCATGTAAATTCAGCAATTATCACTTTGTGCATCTTGTAGGTGGAAATGCTCTGATACTACGTACTATGTACAATCCACCGGGCATATGTCACATTGTTTATTAAAATGGTCATTGGTTTGAGTAGCAGTTGAGTATATTGCTGGAAGACAAATTACACAGTAGCAGTTCAGAATGAGGCAACTAGATTTATGGACATTACCAGGTTGATAAATTTACTTCAACAGAGGCTGCCTCTAGGAACTCAATCCTGCAGTTCTTAACCTTACTGTAAGATATCATTCAAGTCACAGAATGTAGGAAATGGCTTGACAATACCTAGCAGGTATTAGGGATGGTGGTTAGTATTATAGTCCTTTCCTGTTTTGTCAGATGCTTTTTTATTGCTCAAGTCATTTACTGTGGGAATGTATTGTATATTTACTTATTAAGTTTTAGGATTAGTAAAGGTGTGAACATGTATGTATAATTCTAATATGGATTCAACCCAGGATGAGTAAAGAGGGAGGTGTTCCTCCTCCAGAGATCAATGTCTAAGGCCTTGGTTCTGGGTGGAAGAGGTAGAGTTAACTATTTCCTGTCCTTTCCAATCAGATGCATCTCATGGTATATACAAGGTCAATTTGTTTGCTGTTATTTTCCATTTCTATTTCATGAAAAAAATGTGTTCAGAAATAATTAATTGGGATAATAAATATTCTAGAATGAAGATCTTTGATGACATCTCTGACTGATCACAATTAGTTTCCTAACTTCATGGTTCACCAGTCTGTTTAACAGTTCATATGGTTTATATCAATCTGTTTAATCATCTCCACTATTAGACCATTTATGGTGTTGCTGATAACTAAGAGAAAATGTCTTCCACCTCCAACAAAAAACTGAAACAGATCCAAAATCATCGAGAAAAGCCTAGTTCAAGGACACAATTCTTCAACATCAGTTTTGCAGTACTCATGAACAGGAAACAATTACCACAGTCATCTGATATCTATTTTGCCTATGATGGAGAGAATGGCTTTTAGCCTAAGAAAATTGTTGATGTCTGATTGTCACAAATCTTTCTCTAACACACATGAGGAACACACACATTTTTAATTAGACCCGATTCCTATTAGGAAGTGTATCTTGCTTGAAATGACCATACAAAGAAGGTGGAAGGAAATAATCTTTACAAACAGTTGGTAAATGCTATTGCTTCTGCATTGTATAATACAGGGGCCTTCAATCTATCCTGTCATCTTTTGTCTGATCAGTTTCCAAAAAGCTCCCTTCACATCCTTGTTTTTCAGGCTATAAATTATAGGATTCAGCATAGGAGTCAGAGCTCCATAGACTACAGATAGGATCTTTTCCTTGTCAGAAGTAGTTTTTCCTTGAGGCATCAAGTACATGATCATAATTGTCCCATAAAACACACTGACTACAGCAAGATGGGAGCTACATGTAGAGAAGGCCTTCCTGCGATCATGGGATGAATGGATACGCAATACAGCATGACCTATTTTCCCATAAGTCATGGCTATGAAGCCAAATGGTGGGATTACAAGAGTGAAGGTGACAATTTGCATGAAGATCTCACTAATCTGTGTGTCAGAGCAAGCCAGTTTAAGGAAAGACTGCAATTCACATACAAAATGATTGATGACATATTGACCACAAAAATTAGTGGGTCGCAATAGTGCATTGGTAAGGGTTGTCAGGGAAGGAAAGCCTACAGACATAGCCATCAGACAAATACATAATCTCCAACTCATGATCTGCATGTAGTGTAAGGGTTTGCATATAGCTGCAAAACGATCATAAGCCATGACAGCAAGGACAACACACTCTGTGGAGACAAGTAATAGACCCAGATACATTTGAGACAAACATCTGGAGAACGTAATAGTGGGCCTGTAAATGAAGCAGTTGATGAGAACCTCAGGAACTACATTGTTGATGAGAATGAAGTCTATCAAGGAGAGGACACAAATAAAAAAATACATAGGAGTATGAAGTTGGAGGTCCACAATAATTAATGTGATGATGAGGCCATTGCCAAGAAGACTAACAAGGTACACAATCAACAGGAGCCAAAAGAAGATAATCTGGGCTCTGGGTTGGTCAGATAATCCAATTAAGATGAATTCTGTTACTACTGTTTCATTGGTAGATGCCATAACAATATTATATACCTCTTCTTTCCTGCATGGAAGAAGGAATAAATTGTTAGAAGTGGCAGGTTAAAGAAGAGGTTAGATATTTCTGTTAATACATGAGAGGGAGTAAAACAAGTTGACTCCTATGATGGATATGTCTAATAAGATCCTCTATATAAGACTTAATTTCAACCCCTGAAAGAAATCCTACTTTACTCAATAGAAATTGATGGTGTGTTGATTAATAAAACTGGTGAAATTCAGCATTTCAGTTTCAATTGGTCTTACATTCAAGCAGTAAATGAAGATAGACAATTCTGCTTATTAAGACAAATCTGAACAATTATATGGTGCTATATTTAGTGGAAAAGCTAAGCTCCCAAATTAGGTAATAATTTTTCCTTACTTATCCCCCTCCTCCTTTTTTTAATAGCATATTTGGGCTATGAATTATAATTCATCAGGATCATTCTGCATATCAAGTTTCAAAATATTAATTCAATATTTAGCAATTCCAGAAAAAAAGTAAGCCTTAAATAGGTGATAACCTACTGAATGCTACTTTAAATATTGTTCAATAGTATTATTTTCTTGTCCTTAAGAGTCCTTAAGACTGTTTACATTTTAACAGAATAACAGAGTTGGACGGGATCTTGGAGGTCTTCTAGTCCTACCCCCTGCTCATGCAGGAAACTATAACATTTCAGACAAATGGTTGTCCAGTCTCTTCTTAAATACCTCCAGTGTCAGAGCATCCACAACTTCTGGAGGCAAGTGATTCCATTGATTAATTGTTCTAACTGTCAGGAAATTTCTCCTTAGTTCTAGGTGCTTCAAAAACATTCATGCCTTTTGAAAGTTAGAAAATTTTAATGAAAAAACAAATAAGATTTTTATGAAAAGAATAATAGTGAAGGAATCAACGCAGACTGTCAACAAGTATGTTCAATTAGATATATCATATATATATCTACCTGTGTCTGGAATTTCAGTCCAGTCATTTCAATTATCTCAAAACAGCATAGAATTAGCAATGTTTAAGTCTAATTTATTTTTTTTCTTTCTTGTAACAACTTTATGTGATGTAAAACAGAGAAATTACTCACAAAAATCTTACAGAATGGAAATGACCAATTGCAACTTTTGTTCAGCCTTTCAACTTAGTTTGAAACTTTCCCAGTTTTATTAAAATTTAGGGATTGTAAATTTTCCTTTTTAAATCCACATTTTCAGAAAATTACAGAATAAGCACAATTCCCACAATTTATATGCATTTGGACAGTGTGTGTAATGCTTTATTGAAATTTTTGATTGCAAATGACTGCATATACTTTGACACTCAACTTCTATTTAAAAAAAACAAACACTATAGAAATAGTTAAATTGCAAATCTATATTACTGGAAAAAGATATCACAGGTGACAGGAAAGTCTTGTCCCTCCATTCTGAGGACAAAGGGGAAAAATGAATCCAGAATATAATAGAGCTCTCCTGAATCAGAAAAGGACATGTCAGGCACAACCTATTGTATTATACAACAGTCAAATAAATCCAATATCAGGAACCCCAATCCATCCCTTTTAGATGGAAAACATGTACAATAAAAACAGAAGGGGGTTATTTTACTTTCTACAATGCACAAGGTGATCTATGGGAGACTCAAAGCTATCTATTCTACACACAGCCCCAATGCCTAATCACACACAGAGACACACAGAGGGGGGGGCAGAGGCAGGCAGGCAGATACAGAGAGAATGATGGAGGAAGAGGAGAGAGAGAGAGAGAGAGAGAGAGAGAGAGAGAGCAATCTCAGCTACTTGGAACATTTCAGAAAATAAATCCAGGTAGCATCATCAGCTCTTACTTTACCTTACCACTACACAAAGGATGTTGAATCCAAAAGTCAATACAAACAGATCTGGATCAGAAATCTCCCTTTGCTTCAAAATGCTGGCAGAGGATAAAAGCATTGGCATTTGGGCAGAAGTGTCAGTCACAAATGAAATACATTATGAATGGGAAAAGTAAGGTGAGGTGTTCATGCTTATTATAGCAGATGTTTTCAAAAATAGGTTCACGGGGAAAAAAAGTTATATGATCTGTTCTTCATCCCTAGTCAAAAAAGCTCTCCACATTTGTAGTTAGAAAAGATAACAATTTTGCTCCCAGCTACTCCCTGATTGCTGACAAGTTCCGTTACTGCTGATGGTCCACCTATAGTAAGACTGGCTGGCCCAGAACTGATTCAAGGACTGGATTCTAAATGAACTCTGTGGAAAATCACATACACTTTGCTTTTAAGGCAGAAGGCCTATTTGTTGTCTTTACAAACACCTCTGTTTTCATATGCATTAGCAGCATTGAGATGGGTATAATTCACAGTTAAAAATGCCTTACAAATCTCTCTACGTATATATCATTATAATAGAATTCTGCTTAACAGAATTTTAAGCGGAATCAATACTGGACAAGGAAGAGACAGTACAGAGACCGTGTTGGTCATGCCTGTTGATGACCTTTGGAGACACTGATAGTTGGAAAAATCAGAGGCAATAAAAAATGGGGTATGTAATGAGCAACAGTTGTAGGTGGCCTGTTGTGGCTGCAAAATTTGAGCAGAGGTGATGAGAGATCTGGAGCTATGTCAGGAGCAAATAAATGCAGAAATGACCGAGAAAAAGCAACAGATAATGAAGAGTTGGCATCTGCTAGGCAGTCCCTTGCTAGTAGTGAGTAGGAACATCAAGGGCTATGAAGCCCAGGGTACCAGAGACACAGAGTAGCAAGCCTTGATAGTCTCCTAGGAGAGATGGCTGGCATAGCAGTTGGTTGGCAGTGGCAGCAGCTGGACTGATGTGCTGAAAATCGCAGCAGGGGAGGTTTACAATGGACCTGTTTAAGGCACGATAGGCAGCAGAAGTGGAGTCTACTGGCTAACAAATGGTACAGCACTGGATTAAATCACTCAGTTTGACTCTGGCTGTGGAAGTCTTACAGAATTGACTGAGGAAGAATTTTGCCCTATTGGGAAGAGTTTGAGACTCTGAGTCTCAAAAAAATAAAGAGGTTCTTTGGCAGTGTTAGTGCTATGATTAACTCATTAGGTCCTTGTCCTTCCTACTTGGTTAAAGCAGTGGTTAATTCATTATTCAGTGTGGGTGTTGTCCCTCTTTTCATAAAGGAGGGGGTGGTGTGTCTCCTCCTCAATAAACTATTATTACATCAACCAGTTTTAGATGGTTTTTGACCTGCCCCCAGTTTTCTTCTTGAGAAAGTTTGTAGAAAGATTGCATTTGAGGATGACCATTTACTTATTTATTAAATTTATGTACCCAGTCATCTCGAATACATTGCTCCAGGCAGCTAACAATTAAAATAAAAGACAGCCAGGAGATTGGGAGTTTTGTGGTAGTTCCACCTTAGGCATGAAAGATGGCTGGGAGACTCTGGGACCATCAGTCTCTCTCAGCCCAACTCACCTCACAGAGTTGTTTTGGGGGAAATAGGAAGAGAAAGAATATTAGCTATGTTTGCTGCATATTATATGCTTTATTATAAACATAACAAAAATAAAAAACAGAAAGCAAAACTATAAATAACATAAAATAGCTGTGAAGCAGCCAGATGTAATAGACAACAGCTTTCCTAGTCTTGAGGAAAAACTACTAAGAACGGGACAAGTCTCTTTGCAATAATCTCACCACACAATAAGATTTGATTATGACCATTCTGTTTCCTGAATATGCATATACTGCTATAGTAGTAGCTGATGTAGTTTTTAGTACTGGTAGTCTTTCTTTAGTGACTGCCTCATTTAGCAACTACACTTACAGTTACATCAGTGTCGTTACAACAGTGACAGGTTTGTTGAGCAAAGAAAAGATGAAGTAAGATCCTAAGTGCAGTCACAGGTTCACTTAGTGACTTCTTCACTTAATGATCAAGTTGCTGGGCCTTGTTGTAGTCACTTAACAAGGATTGCCTATAATTGATTTATACATTACTGGTAGTACATGGGAAACAACAGGATTATTTATGATTCCCACTTTACACTAAACCCTGGTTTGACCAAGTATAATTCAAAGAAAAAGATAATAAATATTAACTTGGCTTAAGTGTGAGCTAGGCTACTGAATGGCCTTTAATGAGTTTGTAGTCATATTGATTTGATTTTATTTTATTTTTCAAGTTCTAAAGAAGTTAACATGACTAATATTGTTTTGCTTCAACTAATTGTAATCATGGGATATGGTCTCAATGGAATCAAAGCAACAACATGGTATTCTTGCATGAAGTTTCTGTATGCTTATTAATTTAAATGTTTCCATAAAATCTATTCTTTACTCTGTGAAAAAAATCTTTCTAAAGATCTAATAAGTCTTATTTTTTGTTTTGAGGTACTCCTCCTACTTGTGAACTATAATGCAATTAAAGAACTAAACGTACACCCTACTGATATCGGCATTTTGGTACATTTTTTTCTTTTTATTTGCAATTGTACCAACATTTCAGAAAAATACTTATTTTGATTTTTAATAGAAACAGTATTAATATGAATTACTTGTTTTACCTTTCGTATGTTACCCCCAACCTTAAATTCCTAACAAAATTCTTAGGGCAACTTTGAACAGATGAGAACTGTAACTACAACAGAGTGCAATCTTAATGTGATTTTCTATTATTCAAAATACCATAAGATAGAATAACAATATAACTAAACTGTGCTTGTGGATTTGTTCAGTTGATTTGAAGTTCAGGCTACAATGCTTTCCTAGTCTTACATGGTGATTGTACTGGTTTATTGCGGTACCTCAAGGTTCTGTCTTGGGCTCAGAGTTCTTCAACATCTTCATAAATGAGCTAGAGGAGGGGATTGAAGGGACAATCACTAAATTTGCAGATGACACCATGTGAGGGAGAATTGCTAACACTTTAGAAGATAGACTCAAGATTCAGAAGGATCTTGACAGACATGAGGAATGAGCCCTTTCCAACAAGATGCAATTCAGTGGTGAGAAAAGTAAGCTCCTGCACTTAGGTAAGAAAAACCAAATACATAGGTATAGAACAGTGATGGCGAACCTTTTAGAGATTGAGTGCCCAAAAACCACCAGCCCACCCTGTCCCCTCCCCGCCCTGCCTGCTGGGCCACCCATCACCGCCATGGCCCGCCACAGATCACCCAGGCAGCCCAGCAGCACCATGGCGGCCACGCCCTCCACCCATGCCCCACAACATCATCTGTGCATGTCAGGGCGCAAGGGTAGAGTCTTGTCCCCACTACCCAGCTACCATGTCCTTGGCTGCGCTGCTTTGTGTGTGCTGCACCCGGGGGCGACTCTCCTCTGGGGGAGCTGCTGGTGAGGAGGGGACCATGGGAGGAGGCAGGGCTGGGGCAACGGTGCGTGTGCCCACAGAGAGGGCTCCGAGTGCCGCCTCTGGGATGCATGCCATAGCTTCGCCACCACTGGTATAGAATATGCAGTATCTGGCTCAATAGTAGTGCCTATGAGAGGAATATAGGAGTACTGGTGGACCACTGCTTAAGTATGAGTCAACAGTGTGCTGCAGCTACCAAAAAAGCCAATGCATTCCTAGGCATCAAGAGCATGGAAAGTGATAGTACCACTCTATACTGCACTAAAGAGGCCACACTTGGAATACTGCATCCAGTTCTCATCAGCATGACACAAAAAAAGATGCTGAGGCTCTAGAAAGAATGCAGAGAAAAGAAACAAAGGGGATAAAGTGTTTGGAGGATAAATCATATGATGAATGGCTAATGGAACTAGGAATGTTTAGCCTAAGAAAAAAGATTAAGGGTGATATGATAACCATTTTCTAATATTTGAAGAACTGTCACAGGGAAGAGGGGGATAAATTATTCTCTATAGCACCTGAGGGCAGGACAAGAAGCAATGAGTGGAAGCTCATCAGAGGGAGATCCAACTTGGAACTAAGGAGGAATTCCTTGACAGTGAGACCAATTAACCAATGAAACAGCTTGCCTTCCAGAGCTGTGGCTGCTCCATTACTGGAGGTTTTCAAGAATAGATTGGATGAACATTTGTCTGGGGTGTTATAAGGACTCCTGACTAGAGCAGGAGTTTGGACTAGAAGACCTATGGTTCTATACTCACTATATTTCCTCAGCAACCTTTCCCTCAACATCTGCTGTATCACCACCAATGGTCACCCAGGAACTGGCACACTGCTTCACAAATAGGCCAGTCATTCTACTGTGCTAGTGTTATGGGCAAACTAATATTACTATTTTGTGTGTGTACGTTAGGACCTGAGTTTCTTTTGCTGGCTGTCATGGCTTATGACCCTCTGTAGCCACCTCTAATGTAGTTTTAAAGTGGACAATATACATAAATCTAATGATCAGCTTCTGCACTATGATTTCATCATGACCATTATTTCATTTTTCTCCATGTATCCCCATTTATGTGAGAAAAATGTACATACATACGTATGTATGTATGTATGTATGTATGTATGTATGTATGTATGTATGCATGTATGTAAGTGGCTAAGCGGTTATTATATTGAATAACCCTTTCAATAATATTTGTTAGACAAAGCTATAGTTTGTGAAAACTTATCCTTTTTAGTAAAATATGTTAATCTGAAAAAGTGTTCCCAGATGCCTTCTGATTTTTGGCTGCTATAGATCCGAGTTTTTCAAACTTGGCAAGTTTAAGATGTGTGGACTTCAACTCCCAGAATTCCTCAATCAAATCTCCTTGATTTTTTTTTACTTAGGATAAATGACAATGTACTATGCAGTTTCTTTCTTAAAGGAAAAATAATCTTAGTTAAACACACTTGCCAAGGTTGTTGTGAAGGTGTAATTGATGCATATCTATGCATTTTGCCTTGACCCGCTGGGAGATTGGCAAGATTGGTATTTTAACAGAGAAATGAATGTATGTGTTGCTGAGTGATGTGGGATTATTCTTTTTCATAAAAT